GGGATTTGCATAGTCAGAAGGTTTTCTCGGTTGTCTTTGGTGGTGGTAAGTCAAGAAGAAAATCTTGTTGCTTCTTTTCCACCTTTCTTTTGTCTGTATGTAAAGGAAAGCAGACCTTGGGCCATCAAACTTGGCAGGTCCTGGAGTTTATAGACCCATGTTATGAAGTCTTCCTCTTGGTAGTTAACGGTGTTTGGCTCAGCTCTTTAATATTTTAGTGATGAGATTTTTCTTTCCTAATACAAAATTGTCTACATTTTAACAGTTTGATTTGGGGTCAGGAAAGATGGCTCAGTAGTTAAGATTGTCTGCTGCTCTTGCAGAAGACTGGAATTTGGTTCTCAGCTCCCACACTATATGGCCTGTAACTCCAGCTCCAGGAGGTCAGGTCCAGTGCTCTCTTCTGGCCTGCCCAGGTACTCATGTGTGCATACCTAAACTAACCAACTCTCTCTCTCTCTCTCTCTCTCTCTCTCTCTCTCACACACACACACACACACACACACACACACACACACACACATACACACACACACACACAAACCATTTTAAATAATAAAAGTAAATCTTTAAAAATAGTTAACTTAGATGTTAATATTTAATAATAGGCAGAGTTTTGGACAAATTAAGAAAACCATGGGACTGCTGAAAAAAATTGCCATTGGTTAGCCTCTTATTTAAATAATGAAGAAACCTTCTGACCAGGTATAGGGAGGAACAACAACCCTTAGTGCAGCGACCCTTTTTGTTGGGAGCCACATAATGTGTGGACTTCAGGCCCATAGATGGCCAACAATGTGTTCCTTTAGGACCTGAGTCTGCTCAGTGACCTTCTACAGTTGGGTATTAATCCTGAATTCTCTTCAGAACACAGATTGAGGTACTTACTTGAGCATTTATACTGAAAGTCTCAAGCTAATGCAGTTGGACTTCCCAGGAGGACTAGTCAGTTCATATTTTTTGGAGTGACTAATTCCACTAGGTAGGAGACACACCACTGAACACCCAGTGGCTTGCTTGTACACTACCATCAGATCTGACATTTTCTAGCCAATGTCCATCCTGAAACCTAAGGGCCCTGCTGTTCCTGACCCTGTGTTGGCAGCCTCTGGCCAGCTGTGCTGTGCTCTGCTCTGATCCCTGCATCTCCACACATCGCCTCTCTTGGGGTGTACTGCTTCCGTCCCTGGCTGTTGATTTCTGCCTCCTTTTGTTCCTTAGCTCTTGGGGCTCTTCATCAGAGAAGTAGCCTGCCATTTCCATACCTGTTCTCCTCTGGCCCATGGCCATCTGTCCACTCCTGCCCTGTTTCTCCTCTCCCAGCTAACTCTGCCCCCAGCACCTATGACACTCTGTGCTGTTACCCTCAACTTGCACATGAAGTTCCTTCTGCTTGGAACATGAGTTTTCCTCAAGTGCTGAGTGAACATATGCCTTGGTAGTAGGGCCTTTGCCTAATGTGACAGCCTAGGTTTGAACTCAGAACCATAGCATAAAATTAAATAAACAGACAAATGCATAAATAAATAAAGTTGTAAAGGTTACTGGCATTCAAAACATGTTGCTTACAGAGGACTCTTATAATCCGGTACTTGTTTTACCCCTGTAAGTTGACCACTGGCAAGTCTTTCAAGACCCAATTCTATAGAGAGGATTTATAAAAACATGTTATGTTTCTTTGGGCTTTGTTTTTGGTATGCATTTCTTTGTTATGTTATTCTTGCTGGGAAAACCTCTGAGTTCTTTTGGAGAAATACATACAAATTTTTCTGCCTTTCAGAAGTAATACGACACACCATCTTCACTTCTGTTAAATGTTTAAGGGAATCATGTTTGATTTTTTAGTTTCCAGAGCAGAATGGGTGCCTGTTAAATGCTCAAATATGAACTTTTAAAAGGAACTGACTTTTTAAAGAAGTATGGGGAGTCCTAAGAACTCTTTGTTTGTTGGTTGGCTTTGTAGTACTAGGGCTTAGAAACAGGCCCCACCTGTCCAGTACTGAGCTACATCCCCAGCCTAGACATCTTTTAAAGATTACTTTTTTAATAGAAAATGATGGGAACTGATGAAGCGCACATTCTTAATAATTGGTGGCCCTCCAGGAGCTTGAACCTCTTCACTATAAGTTTATATGGTGTAGAGTCTATGACCGCTAATCTTATATGGTCATCCTCCAACATAGGAAGCTGTGATAGGTTGAGTGAGAGCCAGGAAGAATAGTGACACATTCTGAGGAGTAGATTATGTGAATTGGAATTTCCTTGAATGTATTCCAGAGGGTTCTTTGTATCTTGTCCTATGGGGGATACGAAGGATGGGGTCAACAACTTCTTGGGTTCAAAGACTTTTTTTGGCAAGACTTTGGCCTTGCCACCAATATTCTTTACAATAATTCCCTAGCTGTGGAAAACATTCTTTTTAAATGAAATATAATGAGAGCACTCCATTTAAAAAACAGATGGATGGTGGTAGTGGAGAGCCCAGGGCCCATTTTATTTTCTTTCTGCTTACCCCATCTATCCTTAGGGCATCACAACTCATTAGAGTGCCATTTTTCTATTGAGCAAGAGTCACTAGCCATTGACTAGTGGCCCAGGGACTCACCCATGTCTAAGTATTTGTACAATAATAGTACCTAGTCCCAGGGGCTAAATTAGGAAACACATGCTTGGTTTAGCCCAAATCCCAGCACCCAGGAAACACCCAGGGAGGGATCCTTGTCAGACCCCCAGCTGGAGCTCCCCAGCAGCCAGCTCCTTAATAAAGGTATGGTGGCAGGTGGCCGCTGTCTGGAGGGTTTGGTTCTTGGCTGCCATTTTGCTGATGAGAAGCCATTTAAAAGTTGTGTTTGGTTGCCAGTCAGTAAGCACCTATCTGGACTGATTTTCACAGGCATTGGAACAATGAGAGTCAGGTGACTTCACTGTAGAGACTGAAGCCTCATAATCAGACTTAGCGTTAGTTAACATGGCTTTGCAGGTTAACTGAGACATCATTACTCGGTCACAATTAAATGTATTTAAGTATACTCTGAGAGTTGCTTGATGGCAACTTTGAAACTTTCAAGCATAAGTCTTAAAAGATAAGAACACATCCCAGAAGATATATGGGCAGCGCAATTGAAATGTCACTTACCTATTACTGAGAGTAGAAGTGAGTGAACAGTGGTGGAACCGCAAAAGAACATGAAAGACTGGGCAATAGCTACGGGCTTCTGAGGGGGAAAATGTCCTGTAATCCCAACACTTGGAAGCCTGAGTCAAGGAGGATTAGGCATTCAGGATTAGCCTTGGCTTACATAGTAATTTTGAGGTCAGCCTGGACTACATGAAACCCTGTTTCAAACAAAGTAAAACAAAATCAGGAGTTCTGAGCCAACCTTAGCTACAATTAAAGCCAACCTTGTCCACATGAGACCTTGTTTCAAACAAAACAAAAACAAAAGTATTAAATTCCTGCAGTTACTTTGATTTAACCATTTATGTTAGCCTCTATTTTGTTTTGCCTGAGTCCTGTTTTAGTTTTCCCTTTGTTCTATATTTATATATTTACTTTATATTTATGTGAAGAAGTTAAGGCCAGTTCTTGTTCTAATCTCTTATAATGTGACTATTACTAACAGTTGAGATCACTTTTTAAAAACAATAAATACAAAGGGACTTTTTTCTACAGTTATACCTCAATTTATCTTTTCCCATCTTGGATGTCACTCTCGCTCAGTAGTCATCACTTGGAAGAGATTTTGTCCCCAAAAAACATTTCTAGAGGGAGGGAGGCTGCTTAGTTCTGATGGGAAGAGGCTGAGGATGCTGCAGAGGTACCACAGAACCCAGAGGACATAGTCCACACCCCCAGTTACCTGGTCCAATGGGTCAGTAGAGTCAAGATTGAGAAACCCAGCCATAGATCAGAACACAGCAATCTAACTGGCTCCTTTAAAAAGCTTCCTAACGCGTTGTAGGATGGTAAGGTTATTGTTTATGCAGCCAGATGTCTTTGACATGGCTTCTTGCTTACTTGTAGGAAGACTGTAATTGAGAATGCTCAGTGTAGACAATTCAGCTTATTTTAAGAGAAGAAGAAAACAAAAAACCTTTCCAGAAAGACTCCAAAGAGGAACAGTAAGGAATCTATAACTTTGTCCATAAAATGGGATTCTAGGTTACCTGGAGTCACAGACTCCCTCCAAATGACAAGTCTGAAAGAAGTGACTGGAAAGGCATGTCTTTATTTCACTTTCTGTGGTATTGAAAAGGAAGGAAAAAGAAAGAGACAGCAACAGCCTTAATGGCTTTATGTAACTCCCCAAACAAGGAAGGTTACTTCTGAAGTCAGGGAAATAATTTTCACAGAAAACTAATGCTGATGGGGAAGTCCCCACCTGCTATTCACGAGTATTTTTAGAAGTATTATGACATTAACTCATGGTGGGTTCAGCAAAAGAAAACAAAAACAAAGTGGGTTTAAATGAAAGCACTGGTGTGGGAGCCAAGACATTGAATGTCTTGTAGATGCCCTTAGCCCTGTAATCGAGATGACCCTGGTTAGCACAGGTCTATGTGGAAGGGATTCTCTACCTCAGACAGATTCTCCTCTGTGAAATCATGGTTCCATGTCTCTCTGGCTACTCTGTGCTGAGAATTTACGTTTCCATAAGGGTATACCAGAGGGTGGGGCCTCCTCACACACAGTGGGCTAGAGGGTCATGGAACCAGTGCTGGACATGAGAAGGACATAGACTCATTGATGAACCCCTAAAGGGTTGGTCTTCTTTGGAAAATTGTGATATAAGAAAAGTGATCCAAGGACCGTCCTATAGCAAGACAGCTAGATTGCATCTTTGCATTTTATGCTTCTGGCCTTTCATCGTTGTGGCATGTGTCGAAATGTCTTGTCAAAGCTGCAATGGCTCTGACCCACCTACAGAGTCACAAAACTTGCAAGTTCTTTGCTGTTTGGGGAAACTAAATTTATTTCCCCTTCACTCTTATCTTTGTAGGATCAGAGCCACACACAAGTGTCACAATACCGCCAGGATCCCTCCTTGATCATGAGGTCAATTGTCCATATGACCGATGCTGCTCGCTCTGGGATCATGCCTCCTGCCCAGCTGACCACCATCAACCAGTCTCAGCTCAGTGCACAGCTGGGCTTGAATTTGGGAGGGGCCAGTGTACCCCACACATCTCCTTCACCTCCAGCAAGCAAATCAGCCACTCCCTCCCCTTCCAGCTCCATCAACGAAGAGGACACTGATGAAGCAAACAGAGTAAGTTGGAGGTGGCCTAGTGTGGAGCCTGGCAGACAGCTGGATCAGTACCTGCTTGCGTCATGGATCACATTCATGGCATCACCTTTTGTTTCTTCATGGATTTGGAGAAACTTTCAGTTGATGGTTGATTGACTGTTTTTTTTTTTTAATTCATATGCAATTTTTTGGTGAAAGGGTACTGGAACAGAAATTGGGAGACCAGGTCTCCAAGAGCTGTAAGACATTAGGCAAAATCCTTTTGGTCATTTTAGGCTTAACTGTCCTGGTCTGCAAATGGGAGCACCTATACTCAGTTTCAAAATATTCTAGTCTCTTAAGAAATTCTAAAGTGCTCAGGTTCTGTTGCTGATATAAGAGTTTCTTCCCTTTGTTGGCTGGCAGCATTTCAGTAGTGCCGTATCTTAGCAAGGGCCACTTGGTGGGTTTGAATTATTCTCTATCTTTGCTTTTGTCATAGAGAATGCACTTTTGAATACACATAGACTGCAGATGTGACTTTTCTGAATGCCCAAATAGGTAACTTTAATGAAAATGAGCACTGTGATGGTACACATTATGCGTGATTACTGTTATGCTTTTCTTTTACTAATGCTGTGTTTCTTTGCTTGTCAGTTTTCTTGGGTTTAGTGGTGTAAAGGTTTCTGAGAAGCTGGGGTGGTGCTCAGTGGTAGGGGACATTGCTACTATGTGCAAGGCTCTGAGTTCAAATCTCCAGCACCACTGAGAGGGAAAAAAAAAAAAACAACTGTTGCTCAAATTACTCCTCTACTGGTTCTGAATACCAATGTTAAGACTAATTCCAGGTGTGGTTAGTGGCATAATTGATGCTACCAGTATGCAGAGATTACAGTCACTTCTGTTTGAGAGAGTGAATTAAGGAAGACTTTATGGAGAAGGTTGTATTTGAATTAGGTCTAGGAGGATACATAAAAGTTTGTGAGGCAGAAGAGAGGCCAGCATGCTAGTTCAGGGGAAAATGTGGAGCAGTGGGAAGTGTGTGTCCATTTAGGAGTTCTGTGAGGTTTGATTTAGGAGAGGACAGGAATAGAAGAAATGGCTTGAGTGTGCAGTGGCGTCTTCATTTGTATGCAGGGATGATGTAATCAGACCAATGCTTCAGAAGGAGCACTTTGGCCTTCTGTAGAACACAGGGATGGTCAGAAGAAAAGGAGATTGATGAGAAGAGATCTTTATGCTGGCTTGTTTGTTTTTATTAGAGGAAAGAATGGGCGTGGAATACTGGGTTGATGAGGTGTGCTGATGAGGCTATACCATTAAGATGTGGTGATACAGTGGAAACGATTAAATGGGTTTTGGTTTGAGAGCCAGCGTGGATGGGTTTGGCGTGCATTGTGGGGGAGTTTGAGGTGTTTCCATTTGAGACTGGACCTCAGCACTTCCAAGCTGGGACTTTGGAGACAGGGACTGTGTGTAAGACAATGTAAGGAGTAAGTCATGGCCAGAACTCTAAACATCATTATCTTAACTAGCAAAGGGAAGAAGACTGAAAGATGAGAAAAAGAGGAGGGAGGCTAGAAGGATGATACAGAAGGCATGGGATTTAAAGTAGAATGTTTCAGTATACAGTGTCCAGTAGGCACCCAGCTGGACACAGAGCTGACTAATACAGAGTTAGTGATATCCTTTTTCATGAAGACTTGACTGTGGTGAGAGAAGAGAGGCACAGGCTGTGGCTGCTTAGCAGATATACCTTTTTATAGCCATCTGGGATCCTTCCCTTCACTTACATACACTCAGGTCCTGTGTCAAACAGAAATTGTCCATAAGACCCCTCCTTGCCTGACTCCATTTTAAGGGAGGGTTTAGGTTTATGTGAAAACCAAGAATCCAATTTTTTACATTTTAAGCCAATTATCTGAGAAAGGAGAATTAAAATGATCATTTTAAAAACTCTTTTTTTTCTTTCTTTTTTTTTTTTTTTTTTTTGGTTTTTCGAGACAGGGTTTCTCTGTGGCTTTGGAGGCTGTCCTGGAACTAGCTCTTGTAGACCAGGCTGGTCTCGAACTCACAGAGATCCTCCTGCCTCTGCCTCCCGAGTGCTGGGATTAAAGGCTTGCGCCACCAACACCTGGCTTAAAAACTCTTTTTGGCGAAAGTATTTTTCTGGCATCCTTAACCTTTGATGTCAACTGCCATAAGTGTGGGGGTTTTGTTTCTCTCTCTCTCTTTTTTTTTTAAAAGAGACTGTATCCTAATCTGTTGCTTAAACTGTGGGATTTCTTGCTTCTAGTTTAGTCTTAAAAAGTAACGGTGGTTAGGACAAATTGTACTTGGCCAAGAGTGGCCTCAGAACTCACAACTTTTGAATATGGCTTTACAGAAGACATGAGCCAGCTCTCCTCACTGAAGAAGAGCTGCATGGGAAATCGTCATACTTTAGCACCAGCACTGCCAGACTTTCTTCAGGGAGGAGAATAAACTTGACTCCATTTGAAGCTTTATCCATGTTGTAGTAAAAGAAAACTTGACTTCTATATTGTCTAACTTAAAGGTGTCTGGTTCTCCATCAAGCTTTATGGTATTGGGTAGAATTAAACAAGTCTTGTTTATTCTGGAAATTTAGAAAAAAAGACTGTGGAGTCTAAAGAATTATCAAATTAACTGTGTAAGTTGGGAACACTGGTCTTTTAGAGAGAAGGGAAGTGAATGCATTTGTATGCTTTATAGATGTGGCTGTCCCCCCAAAACAGTACAATCTGGAAGGCAGCCAGTGATTCTCAAAGGTTTAAATATTATGTGTTCTCCAAGAAAAGTTACTGCTTATTATGCCCCTCACTAAGAATTGTTGGTAATTGTTTTAAATTCCAAGTGGCCCCCATAATTTAGAAAGTTTTAAAACGCCAGTGATATTTAAGATTCAAGATCATTAAAATCTAATCCGTTAGTAACTTGGATCAGTTATTGTTCATTGGACTCAAGCCTGGCTTTTAAACAGATTCTGCCCAACACTTGAGGATTCCTGATGAAAATAAAAAACAAACAAATACCTTCAATGTGCTTGCACTGTGATCTAAGCCAGAGAAAGCTGAGGTTGATGCGCCATTCACCCTCCCGCTATGGGTATTTCCATGATGTGGTCAATAAAAAGCAGGTGTTGGGACCTGTAGGACTTGGTGGTCAAGAGCACTTGCTGCACTTGTAGAGGACCCAGGTTTGGTTCCCAGTACCCGCATGACTGTTCACATCGTTCTGTAACGTCAGTTCCAGGAATCCAGTGCCCCTTTCTGGCTTCCGTGTTCAGGGCATGCATGTAGGCAAAACACCAAAACACATGAGCTAAAAATAAAGAAAACTAGTAAATAAACAGCAAGTGATAGCAGCAAATGAATATGAAGTGTGGCTGTGTATAAATTTGGATGTCTTCGGTATCACATGAAGGGTTCTGACTTGAGAGTCCATACTGGGAACATGTCTTTGTGCAGTGCAGGTGCTTTCAGGTTACTCACCTTGTATAATGGATAGCTTTCTGGTAGCTTTCCCGTTCGTCTTGGCAATCTTAAGTATCAGTTAGTGTTCTTCTGTAGGCTGTTGATGTTATGAAGAGTATTCATTTCTTTTCTAGATCTAGTTAAAGTGGTTTTGACATTTTTATATTTCTTGTTATCTTGTTCTTTAGAAAATAAAGGTGACCTTTCTTTCATTGTGCAAGTGTGGTGATTACAGCTAATTTCTATTTGCACTTCCAGAGGCTCATTAGCGCAGCAACCTTCTTGTAAAAAGAAAAAGAAAAAAATCAGCCACACAAAAAATCAATTCTGACCAGTCATACAGATGGCATGCAACTGTAGCAGGGGACCTTGTTTAAAATATCAGAATATGATCCACATCCAAAATGTTATTAGGTTTTCTTTCTAAACCCTCTGTGAACTGTTCTGCTTGTGTATGCGTGTGTAGCATTGTATATAGAGAGCATAGCCTGGTGCAGAGAGAGTGTTCTGGCTTTCATTACTCATAATTGCCATGGAAAGCATATGTTGCGAATATACTGAAGCTACTTCCGGGTCTCATTAATCAGTGTTCTAAATGCTAATCTCTGCTGTCCAGTTAACTCTAAGCAAGTTTGCCCCTCCCCCGCTTTGGTGGCGATTCATCTGTTGATGAACCTTAACAAAACCTTCAAAGAGCAACTGTGGCTTGGAATAAGTCTTGCTGCATTCTCTGCAAGTTCATTCCAGGCAATGAATTTTCTTCCTGCTTTTGCAGGCCATTGGAGAGAAAAGAACAGCCCCAGATTCTGGCAAGAAGCCCAAGACGCCAAAGAAAAAGAAAAAGAAAGACCCCAATGAGCCTCAGAAGCCAGTGTCAGCATATGCCCTGTTTTTCAGAGACACACAGGCTGCAATTAAAGGTCAAAACCCCAATGCAACCTTTGGAGAGGTCTCAAAAATTGTAGCATCTATGTGGGACAGCCTTGGAGAAGAGCAAAAGCAGGTAAGACAAGCATCTATCATGGAAAGGTATTTTAAAAGCTACCAGAATATTCTACATCTAATATGATTGTTTCTTAAGAAAGCTATGAAATCAAAACACACCCAAATAAACCCAAATAACTCTACTTGTATTGATGTCTAGTCAATTTATGGGTACGTGTTCAAATTTTGTTCACAAGAGACTTGGAAGAAATCTGGATAGTAGCCTGCAAGCATAAACTTTTGATGATAATCTTTTCATTTTAAATAATGTGGAATTTTCCCCTTTGTTCAGAAAGGGCCCTACAAAAGGATTAGATCCATCCTGCTTGCTTTTCCATTGATCATCTTTCTGAACCCTTGTGCTATCCTGGTGTGTTTCCAAACTTTGAAGCTGCCTCTGCATGTCTCATTATTGTCACTGGGCATTTGAAATTTTTATTCCAAGTTCATTTTCAAACTAGATAGTGTGAGAGGTATTCAGAGATTAGCCATGCTGGTGGGAGATAGTTCCTCGGGGCCTGCTCCCCTCTTCAACGCCTCAGCATAAATGAAGGGAAGAATGGGATCCTTTGGGGTTGGTCCTCCCCTGCTTGCGTAAAACTCCAATTACCTTTAATAGGACTTTTATATATCTGTGAAGAATAGGCCCCTATCAGTGCTAAAACAGAGCAGTTGTTTCAGAAAGGAGGGGTGGAGAAATGCACATCATGAACTCATTCTTGGTAGCTTGTTCACTGCAATGGTGCAACTATTGAATGTGCCTGTTTGCTTGCCATGAGCTTATTCCCATACCCAGTACACCCATTACTGTCCCCAAAATGCAATTATAAGGAACTAGAAAACTGCACCACAAACTTAGCATAATCTGAAGAGGAGGTTTTACTTTGTTCTAACAGCTAGCCATAGGGCCATTTAGGATAAACAAAGCCCAAATCCTGTGTAAGACGCCAGTACTTAAGTAACTTCCTTATCTCACTATGCCAATCTCCATCTTTTATTATTTATGACTTCTACTTCTCTTTGTTTCTCCAAAAGAATCCCAGGGTTGAGATGCCTCTGTCTTTTCTCTTTTGTCTAATTAGAAAAAAAAAAGTGCGTGCGTGTGTATGTGTGTCTTGTACTAGAGGCCACAGAATGTATGGAGGTCAAGGGCAGCTTTCAGCTTTCAGAATCAGTTCTCTCCTTCCCCGGTCTGGGTTCCAAGGATTGGGCTCTGTTTGTCAGGGTTAGCAGCAGACACCTTCACCTGCTGAGCCATCTCATCAGCCCCTATAGTTTGTCATTAAAGCTCTGATTTAGTGCAGTTTAGGAGGGCATAAGCAAGAAAGTTGACACTGATGGAGAAACCTAGTCCTAACTAGAACTTAAGCCATTTGTAGAAAGCTGATCCTTGATGCTTGCTGACATCATTCTCCCTTTCAAGGGTAAACATCAAACTTGGGCTTAGGTGTAGGTGGCAGGGCTTTTATTCCAGTGTGTGTGTGTGTGTGTGTGTGTGTGTGTGTGTGTGTGTGTGTGTGTGTGTGAGAGAGAGAGAGAGAAGGAGAGACAAAGAGAGAGAGAGAGAGAGAGAGAGAGAGAGAGAATTTGAAAACCAAAGCCAGGGAGACCAGGTTTTTAGGTAAGTTCTGTTTATGTGACCTAATTTGTGTAGCAGCTTTATAGCTAAGAATTTATAGCATGGGGTGGTGCTAATTGTGGTCTTATTTTAATAGGTATATAAAAGGAAAACAGAAGCTGCCAAGAAAGAATATTTGAAGGCCCTGGCTGCCTACCGGGCCAGCCTTGTTTCTAAGGTAAGCCTGCTGCAGTGTGGGAGCTGTCCTTGTGTGCTGGAAGCTTCAGTGTGGCTCCCTAAGAGCTTTAAATTAGACACAACTCACCTGATAGTGTGAACAGTAGGAGCTCCTGGAAGCTGCTGAGGCTGAATTGCTGCTAACAGATTTGCTGGTCTTTCTATTTGTGTTTGTAGCAGTACAGATGCATCTTAAATAGCCCCTTGTTCTTCCCCTGTGTGGGGAGCTGGATCTGGGTTAATGTCCTCAGTTTGAAACTGGAGGTGTGCTTGTCAGGCGTTTCTGAGCATACCATAAGTTATCTCGTGGTTACATTATTGTAATCAGCAGTGGTGCATTTTTGACCACTTGTTTCACATCATATAAATAAATAAGCCTCATGATTATTTAAAATAAAATCATGTTCCAAGTGCTAAGACACAAAGTACATGCATTATACATAGAATATACAGTGATGTATTTTAAAAGGCACTAATATTCCAGAGTAGCTCTACTCTAGGTCATTATTCCCCTGATCAAAAGGAATCTGTATGCTGTCTCTCTCTCTCTCTCTCTCTCTCTCTCTCTCTCTCTCTCTCTCTCTCTCTCTCTCTCTCTCTCTCTCTCTCATCCATCCATCCACCTGCCTGTCCTGGTGATTGAACCCAGAGTCTTACACATCAAGCAAGCACTCTGCAGCTGAGTCCCACCACCAGACCTAAGCTCCTACATTATTTTACCAATTAGTTACTGAAGTGTTTTGCCTTTTGAGCTTTTAGACAAGCTCTAGGGTGAAGAGTTTAGACTAACAGGCTTTGCAGTGGACTCCTCTCTTCTGAGAAGCAATTCTATTTCATCGTTATTGTTATCTCAAGTCCATAAGGCCTCAAAGCCAGGTTGAAATTTTCCTTCCTGCTTTCTCTTATTCACCTGAGTTGTTTCTTGTTTGTTTCTGGATCCACCACTGGCAGCCCTGCTGAATGAGATCAACAGAAGGCCTCCTGCCTTTGCTGACAGCTCTCCCACCTCATTAGAGGGAAAACATTATCAGGACAATAGCAAAACCTCTCTTCTGAGATGCACACTGGCAAATACACCGAGTCTGAACTTAGATGTGCTGTGGGTGGAAAGTAGATTCTGTGGGCTGTGCGCATTGTGCTGTATACAACCATGTTGAGGTGTGGGAACATTGGGTGGAGCAGATGTTCCTCTCAGTGTTCCTCTCAGGTGGACCAGTCAGCCTTTGGTTTACCCAGAGGCAAGAATAGGTGACTCTCCTGAGTATAAGTGTCAGCAAGTGACTATGCAGGAATTTAAACCAGGAACTACTATCTGAAAGGGAAATCAGCAAACACAGCTAGGATCCTCCAGTCTGTGATTGGCTTAGAAGGGATAACTTAAAATACTGGGACTCTAGAGTCACAGTTCCCAACTATTTCCAAATGTACTTTAATGACCCCTCACCAAAAAGACAATTTCAAAACGATAAATTTAAAACACTGTTTACTTTCTTAAATTTGGTAAATAAATGGTGCTCACAGGGATCTAGGATTTATATTTTAACAGTTGGAAAGGAACTAAAATAATAGTTGTTGAGGTACAAGTTCAAAAAAATTTCAACCTGGACCCAAAGAGTGAAGTAGCCAGTGGTACAGGGTGGCTGCTCCACCCCTCTTCTGAGGAATTGGCTCTGTTTGTGGTTCCACAAGTGAAGAAGACAATACTTGAAGACTTCCAGACTTGCCTTCACGGTGAGGATGGATGTAACCTAATCCTGTTAGGGTAATTAAGAGAATCTGGTTCATGAGAATTTGGAGACAGAAGATCTTAGTCTTCGAATATAAGGGTCACAACCAAAGAGATTGGCAATAAGTTTGCATTATATTCCCCCATAATGTGTGCCTCTGTGTGCAGAGCCCAGGACCCCCACCCCAATCTGTAATTCTACTTTCTACTGAACGTGAATCTTCAGAGACGTTAATAGAAGCAATACGATTAAATTTCAACAAGTAAATCTTTCAGGCACCTCCACAGCCACCAACCCTGCTTCATTTTTCATTGAAGTGTCACCTTAAGGCTCCCTAATACCATTGACCAGTGTCAACAGTCACCATGTAGTTTCCTCCTTGAAACTAGCTTGGTGATTTTTTTTTATTTTATCCTTTTTTTTTCAACTTTTTTTTTTAATTTGAACTAGAAACAGGATTGTTTTACATGACAATCTCAGTTCCCTTCACCCTTCCATCCTCCCCTACCCGCCCCCACAACTAAAACCCTACCTATCACATATCCTTTCTGCTCCCTCTGGATGTTGAGGCCTTCCATAGGGTGTCATCAGAGTCTATTGTATCCTTTGGGATAGGGCCTAGGCCCACCCCTGTGTGTCTTGGCTCAAGGAGTATTCCTCTATATGGAATGGGCTCCCAAAGTCCATACCTATGCTAGGGATAAGTACTGAACTACTACAGGAGGTCCCGTAGATGTCCAAGGTTTCCTCACAGAAATCCATGTTCCTAGGGTCTGGATCAGTCCCAAGCTATCAGTCTGGGGAGCAAGAGTTCCCTGATGTTCAGGTCAGCTGTTTCTTCTTTATACTAGCTTCTTTGGCAGTGTGGATTATAGGCTGGTAATGCTTACTCTATGTCTAAAATCTGCATATGAGTGAGTACATACCATGTTTGTCTTTTTGCCATTGGGTTACCTCGCTCAGAATGGTTTATTCTAGATCCATCCATTTTCCTGCAAATTTCAAGATTCCATTGGTTTTTTTTCCGCTGCGTAGTACTCCATTGTGTAAATGTACCACATTTTCTCTATCCATTCTTTGGTTGAGGGGCATCTAGGCTGCTTCCAGTTTCTGGCTATTACAAATAGTGCTGCTATGAACATGGTTGAACAGATGTCCTTGTTGTATGAATGTGCTTCTTTTGGGTATATGCCTAAGAGTGAAATTGCTGGTGATTTTTAAATGTTAGAGTACCTGAGAGTTATATTATGAAACCATGTGTGTTCTATTTTGTGAGTTCTTTAACAAATTCTAAAGATAATTTTGCAAATCTATAGCAGTGTCTTCCCTAAGCCTTTAGAATAGGGCCTTCCAGTAACATCCAGTCACGTGGGTTTTTATACCAGAGGACACTGGCCTTAGAAGGGTGTTGCTTCACAGTGATGTGTTGAACCAGAGCCATCAGCTACACTGGGTGACTCTATATGAGACCCCTTTTCAGGTTCCCTCCAGTAGAAGAATTTCATAAATCTGAGTCACAAGAATACAGAAGTAAATATTTAGAATCATTAAAGATGTCATATGATACTTGATTGCCCTGCAATGTCCTCTACTACCCTACCCCACTCAAAGAAGAAACCCAAGGAATGTGGAGACAGCTCCACAGTAGTGAACTTGCCTAGCATGCAGGAGGTCTGAGGTTCCGCTAGCACCACCAAAAACAGTCAAGCAAACCAAGTAGGAAAAGACCAATTTTATGAAAAATTAAGGGCAAAACTGTTTAACACGAAACATTCCAACCACTTTTGCATGTGTAAAAGAATTTATTTTTGCAGAATTGTGTGTTTTAGGCACAAAATAGAATAGCTCCTTCAAAATTGTTTAATGGGTTACTGCATTATATGAAGTTTTAATGCCCTCTCTTCATCTACGGCTTCATCGATCAATTCTGGGAGGTCCCTTGAAAATAGTTGTTAAACCCAAAACACTTCTAAAGTCATGAGCTGCTTTCATTTGATGTCTTTGAAGAATGTAGTTAAGTTTTTCTTATGTTTGAGTGGCTTCTGTGGTAAATAGTTATGCAAATGGGATTTTGACATTTTCTAGCAGTTTGGTTTCTGGTGGTATTTGTTGTTACTCGATACAGTTCTGAATGCTGAGTGCATGAGTTCGTTCTCATATCAGAGCTTCCACACTCGTTCAGTACCACATGGTGCGATGTTGTGGAAGGGAAACTGAGAAATACATGAGTGAGTAAACATGCTCGAAGATCTGGAGATGTTCATGGTAGAGCTGTAATCCATTGTCTTCCCAGTGATGCTTCGGAAGGGAGGCTAGAATGGTTAGAATGATGAACAATTGCTACTTTAAAAATGTGTGTCAGTTATCTTTTACCCCAGTTAATGCTGTGTAACCACCGGTCGCAAATCCCAGTGACATACAAAGATAAGCTTTATCAGAGAAAGCCAGGTAGCTGACTGGTCCTACAGATGGAGTCCTGCTCTTCTGTGGCATACCTGCAATTGGATGCTGACAGTGGACTGGCTTCTGAGTGAGGCAGGCCCACAGATCTTCTGTCTGTGATGGCTCTAGCTATAGAGAGTGAATGGAAGGGTGTACCATCCTTTAAGGTACTCTCATCCCATTCCAGTAACCAAGCAAAGGCACCACACAAGCCCAGACTCACTGTGGAGCAGAACAGATTGGACTCTGCCTTCAGGCAGTGCTTAGACAGTCACGTGACAAAGGCCATGGAGACAGGGCAGCATGAATAGCAGTGGCTATTTTCTGAGTCGGTTTATAGTATATATTTGTAGATTATAACATCCTGGACCTTTATTCCTCTCCATGCAGGCTGCTGCTGAATCAGCAGAAGCCCAGACGATACGTTCTGTCCAGCAGACTCTGGCATCGACCAATCTGACATCATCCCTCCTTCTGAACACGCCACTGTCTCAGCATGGGACAGTCCCAGCCTCGCCTCAGACTCTCCCACAGTCGCTCCCTAGGTCCATCGCTCCCAAACCCTTAACCATGAGACTACCCATGAGCCAGATCGTCACATCAGTCACCGTCGCAGCCAACATGCCCTCGAACATTGGGGCTCCACTGATAAGCTCCATGGGGACGGCCATGGTTGGCTCAGCAGCCTCTACCCAGGTGAGCCCTTCGGTGCAAACCCAGCAGCATCAGCTGCAGCAGCAGCAACAACAGCAGCAGATGCAGCAGATGCAGCAGCAGCAGCAGTTGCAGCAACAAATGCATCAGCAAATCCAGCAGCAGATGCAACAGCAGCATTTCCAGCACCACATGCAGCAGCACCTGCAGCAGCAGCAGCAGCAGCAGCATCTCCAGCAGCAGATCAACCAACAGCAGCTGCAGCAGCAGCTGCAGCAGCACCTTCAGCTGCAGCAACTGCAGCACATGCAGCACCAGTCCCAGCCTTCTCCCCGGCAGCAGCAGCAGCAGCAGCAGCACTCCCCGGTCACCTCCCAGATCACATCCCCCATCCCTGCCATCGGCAGCCCCCAGCCTGCCTCTCAGCAGCTCCAGCCTCAGATCCAGTCGCAGACACAGACTCAAGTATTACCGCAGGTCAGTATCTTCTAGGGTGCCTGAGGCATGCAGATCTGAGTGCACCGCGGATAGAGGCCCAGGAGGGAAGGTGTGCCGACTGGAACTTGTCCCATTGGGCAGCGATGTGTAACAGATCAAAACGGTCCTCTCAAGTGTCTATTAGATAGGCAATAAGAACTACAGTGTAGCTGGGAAGCATCTTTTAGCTGACTATACTATACATCACTTTGTTTTTAAACAAAAAAGCTGCGCTCTGTCATGTGCTGCCTTTTTTATTTATTCAGGCTAAACCTACAATATGTGAATCAAACCGTTTAATGAATCCTGGGACATACCGATGACTGTAAACTGGCCTTTCCGAGTCATAGAAAAAAAAAAATGGCCTTATTTCTCCAGAAGTGAGTGAACCACACTTCCAGGCTATTTGAACTTCTGAAGCCCTAAAATAAATACTAAGTACAAAGCACAGTTGTAACTACCTGAAATATGAAGATCCAGTTTCATACAAACGTTTGTATGATGTGAATAGTTGATGGCATTTTTTTGTCATGAAAAAAAAATAATGTAAATCACAGACTTTTGCCAAAGCTCTTATTTTTTTTCTAAATCTCTCAAAAAAAAATGCAAGTGATTAGATTCAATTATGGACTTATGATTTACTTCCTTCTACTTTGTATCCATGACTTCTCTGAATCAAACCACAGTACATGCTGTGACAGTATCTGCGGCCACTGTCAGACCACTATGTTCATTCCAATTAGAAGAAATGTGAATACTATATTACGTGTTTTGAGTGACAAGTTTCAAAAAATAAAAACACTGTATTTTTAAAAGGGAAATGCACTTAAATGAAACAGTTATTACAAAAGTTAAGATTTAAAAAGACAAAGCAAGAGTTTTTATTATGATGTAATACCGGTAGAATATTGAATATTTAAAAGGCACACTACATCTGAAATAATCAATGTAAATATTTTCTTTCCAAGTTGTAAGTTTTCATATCATGTGTTGTAAAGTTTTCCTAAACCAGGCTTTAACGTAAAACACTGGTGACATAAACCATTCATTGCTACATTGCTTATTGTGTTTTTATGCTGTTTTATACTTTTTTATGAGTTATGATAGCAGCAATTAAGTTGTTTGTATTTTGCTTAACTAAAACAAAATGCTTTTATCTTGCTATAGAATAAACACATTTCAGTAAAATCTGTGGACTGTATTTTGATGCAACGACAAGGACACTGTTCACTTTTCAAATAAAATGGAATGTCAAATTTTACTATTGGTCCCTTGAATACATTAAGATGGGGAACATGGCACCGACCTGTCCTGCTTGAACTGAGCATCACCCTGCATTTTCATCTAGAGATACAATATTCATGAACAAGAATTTGGATTTTACAGCCAAACACCAGGGCCCTGAAAAACAAAAACAACGGATTTTCTTTTTGTAATTATCTTTTTGTTAAGATACAAATGTGATATAAATTATTTACAAATAAAATACAAGTAAGATACAAATATATTTATGTAAGGCAAAAAGCAGTTGTCTTCTATTCAGAGCTAGAACTGACTGCCATTGTGTTTTTTTTTTTTTTCTATTAAAATGAATGGTGGGTCCTAATTTTGAGGCCAAAATAAGAATTTCAGTGCTCATTTCCCCTCTTTTTCTCGGCTCTATGGTGGCTTCTCTTTGAGAGCTGTGTGACCATGATCCCCAGTTGTCTTGCATGATTAATTACAGCATCTGTCCTGTCTGAAGCTGTAATGAAGAGGTCTTGATAAAAATTGCAAATTACCACTGGCAACAGTATTAAACTGCTTATGATAAAATGAAAATTAAAAACAGCAAGTGTCAACCCTGACTAGAATCCTAATCTGAAAAGAATGAGGGTGTGCTTGGCAGCGTCCATTACTACTGTGTGCAAGACATTGAAAAATAATGGAATATGGATTCCTCAAAGTTGTTGTACTTCAAAGAATATTTACTGTATGTTGTGGGTTATGAATAATGAATTTTGCTTTCAATATTTCATAATCCTCTCATACTCTGTATTATGTACAAATATTGAACAGCCAGAGATTCTGATTATAAATTTATAGGCTTCTTGCTGTAGAAAAATTTATGTCTAAATTGAAGCTTTTCATAAGATGTATTAGTTGACAGGTATCAGTGTTCAAACAGTCTTAGAAAGATGCCTAACTACATCTACAAGGGGCTGATTGTGCTCACAAAGCAGTGATCGCCTGCAGCACATTCATCTACCCGGAGTGAAGCCAGTGCTCAGAGTCTCTGAATGGAAACCAGCATTACATAGCAATAAGAACCATTTGATAGTCTGTGGTGGGACCTTTAGACAAATGTCTTCAAAATTAATTGCTAAACTACATGTGACAGTAATTGTGTCTTAGTTCTATAATTGTCATTTTGAAAACCCATGAAGTATTGCTGGGGAAAAAAATGTCACTAGTGATGAGGCTTAATTGCAAGTGAAGTCTGTTTGCAACTGTTTGCCGTTAGAGGCAGGTGTTGTCGAAGCTATTACATGAGTTTTTAAAATAAATCTTAGATTTTTATCACATTTCATCAAATTATATAAAGCTACTGATGGCCAGTTCCAGGGGAAGAAAAAGATAGTTTAATTACTACAATTTAAAAATTAATCACCAGGCAAAACTCTATATTTAAAACATCAAAAGACTTGAATTATGTAATGAGTCCCCCCCTCTTGTTACCAACTTGTTTGAATCAGCGTTCACAGAACAACTGCTCTTGTACTTCAACTTATATGAGTGACTAGAGTCTGTCTCTGCATCTAAATAAGGTTTTGGTACTCTTTCTTTAGTAGGTCAGAAATAAATCCTGGCGATGAAAACTGGTCTGAGAAGCAGAGTAGCCTATTGGGTGGACTCCTTAAGTGTTCTGTGGGTGTTGAGAGTCTCCCCCTCCCCAAACCCCATCTCCATCACACACCTCATCTCTCCCCTGTTGTGGGGACATTATTTTATTACTCTAGCTAACTATGTTCCCTTTCTGTGTTCACCTGTCCGCTGTCTGATGAAAGAGCATAAGGACTTTTCATTTTCAGCTGACACGGGGTCATTAGTTCCTGACTCAAAGAAAAGAAACTTAAATGCCTTCGTGCAGCATAATTTCTGCAATATATTACCACCTGACGGCAGTCTGAAGGCTTTCGAGACAGATGGATTAATATCTCAAGTTTAAGTAGGAGTCCTCTGCTGTCCACTCAGCGGGCTCCAGACATCTGAATGGCCTCTTCCCCGCTCTCACTTCACAGAGCATTTTCAGCACTGGACTTCAATCTAACCTTTCCTCCCCCTCACCCACCCCCTTTGTTTGGCTTTTGTTTTGCAACAGCTGTTATTATCGTTTTTGGTCAGCTGTGATTGCTGGAGGCAAAATAGGACCAGATGGTGTTTTGCTATGCATGAATGGAGCATTAGAGGAGTTGGGACTGAATAGGCCAAGTTTGAATGGTGTCTATGCACCACCTGCCTGCCTTAGCTGCGGCGTACACATCACAGTAGTATGATCCGTCTCAGACCTACTAGAATCGGATGGGAAAGTGGAGAGCTGGGGTCGATTTCCCCCATATTTATTGATCTTCCATGCACTAACAGAATAATGCACTGTACAGTCAATTTGAGTTAATTGCATATGACACAGCATGGACATGTAATCCATCACTCTAGAATTCTGGTTCACTTTCAGGATTTCATTGCTCCTTAACACACGTACATGCACACATATGCACACGAACACACTCACAGGAGTAGGAAGAGAGAGAATGGAAACTGATGGGTAAATAGGCACGAGTTTAAAAGAATATTCTAAAGTAACACTTAAGAATCTGAGGCTGAGGTTGTGGGTGTTACTGGAAGATAGTTGAAAAATGATTTTTTTCAGCAGAAATACATAGTGAAGAAGCCTATACTTTCGATCCAGAAGAACTTGTCAGAAGTGTAGGCTGTCCCTCAAATGCTGCATGGGTACTACTCAACCAGACTTGGATTTTCTTAGAAAATATTCTTAGCCACCTAAGTTTTGCTCTATATCCATCAAACTAACTTCAAGGATACACGTAGTCCCCGAATGCTAAAGCTGGTGGATGGGTTTCATCCGTGTAGACTGCAAACCTACAGGTGTGTGGTTGTGTGTGTTACTGGGGAAACACTGAGCCGCCTGGGAGATGTGGTATCAGATATGCAGGCAGACAGCTCCATTTGCCTTGGGCCCTAATTACTTAAATTTACTTCCGCAGCATGCAGAACCCTGTGATGGGTCCCAAAGGAAAGGCAGAGATAAATAGCACCTTCTGTTTACTTTGTATATGTTTGAAATTTTTCCTAATAAAGATTTAAAAAATCGTAACAGGCCATCCTTTAATGGAGTCTTCATTTTCCCCCCTGGGACAGAGAAGGTACCACCACACAGAATGATTGGGTGTGCCAACAAGAGATCTAAAACAAATGTGTGTGATTTTTCTCTTTAATCTGAGAAGATGAAAATTCTCATTAGGAAAGGGAGAGATTATGATTGGCTGTGGGTATTGGAGAAAACTGCATGAGATGTGTGATGTTTAGCAGGCGCCTTGGGGCTTGGGGAGGCTGTCAGAAGCCAAGATGGAAGTCTTGACCTAGAAGAAGAGATGTCTCCAATCCCGGGATTGGGGGTGGGATGGGCGTGGAGGTAAGAGAAGACCCAGGTTGGAAGTCCAGGCACTTCAAAGGAGCAGATGTGGAGATGCATTTTTCTTGCAAAGGTGAGCAGGAGAAAGTACTGGAAAGGGAGATGGGGGTGACATTTGTTGATGATCTCCGGAGGAACTGTATTGAACTAGGGCTGTAAAGGAGTAAGAAAGGCAGGACTGAATACAAAAGGGTGTGATCCAGTTGGCATTAATAGAATTGATCAGGATTCCCATTGGGGACAGTTCCTCAATATTTGGTTTGTTACATTGCTCAGTGCTCCCTCCCACCAAACCCTCTATCTTTGGGGTGCATGACCACCA